GACTTAGAGGCAGTGCTGACAGTGCTAAAGCATTGGGTCCACATTATTTTCCAGTTTTTATAAAGTTTTAAGGTCAAAATTTTTTGATATTTTTGTAAACAAGGGTCAAAAATTTTAAAACTTTGTAACTAAGATCTTAAGTTTTTAGAAAAAAACAATAATTGGACACAAGGTCCAAAAAAAATTTGAGCCAGGCCTGTCTTCAAGTCCCGTTAGGTTTGCTTCGTTCTAATGTTTTTATAAGTGAATGTTCTTGGCATCAACATAACCAAGGATGATATGTCGAAATTTTGTATTTATTAGATCAACATTCTACAAATGTAAAAAAAAAATTCCAAGATTTTCATAATAAATACAAAATTTCTAAATATATTTAATGCTGAATATTCTATAAGTCGAGATCATATTCAAATCTTTTTATTTCCTTAAATAAGGCTTTTTTGTTAAACAAAATTTTTTTCTATCTTTAGTTAATTATTTTAGTTTGAATATATAAATATTAAAAGATTTAATCAAAAGATTATCATTCAATTTATTAAGATTGTTCTGCAAGGTAAAAGAATATTCCACTAGAAGATTTCAATTTCTTAACCCTAAATCGACAACTCCTCTTCGTTATATAAGATCATCCATTTCTCTGAACAAGACATCCATTTTTTTCATCCCAGTTTTATATGATTTTTTTTTTCTTTCTAATTTTGCTCAATCAAATTTATTTGTTTCAGTTTAGCTTTCTTATTATCAGATTATATATAATTTCATATACATTGATGTTAATATCCTTTTGGGAGACTCACAAAAATGCCCCTTTTTCAATATCCCTTTTCAAAAATGCCCCCTTTGGATGTCCATTTTTAAAAATACCCCTTTTTATGTACAAAATGACTAAATTACCCTTCTTTTAATAAAAGATATTACAAATATATAAGGAAATATAACAAAATTAGGTTCACAAAATACAAAATATTTTTGGCGGGAAAAGTGATCCCACAATTTTTCCCGCCAAAAACACTTGTAAAAACTTGTAAAACCTTTAAAATACCTTGTAAAATTTTCCCGTAAAATTTTTTCCCGCCAAAAATTTTTTTTTGCGGGAAAAGTGATTCCGCAATTTTTTTGGCGTTAAATTTTTGGCGAGAAAATTTTTGGCGGGAAAAATTTACAAGGTATTTTAAAGGTTTTTTACAAGGTATTTATAAGGTTTTACAATGTATTTTAAAAGTTTTTACAACGTATTTATAAGGTATTTATAAGATATTATAAGATTTTACAAGCTATTTTATAAGGTTTTACAAGTTATAAGATTTTACAAGTTTTTTATAAGGTTTTACAAGTTGTAAATACTTTATAAAACCTTATAAGTACCTTGTAAAACCTTTTAAAATACATTGTAAAACTTTACAAAACACTTGTAAATACTCTGTAAAACCTTTAAAATACCTTGTAAATTTTTCCCGCCAAAAAAATTGCGGAATAACTTTTCCTGCAAAAAAAATTTTTTGGCGGGAAAAATTTTTAGGAAAAAATTTTACAAGGTATTTTAAAGGTTTTTACAAGTGTTTTGGCGGGAAAATTGGGGGATCACTATTCCCGCCAAAAAATATTTTGTATTTTGTGGACCTAATTTTGTTTCAAATAAAGGTAAAATGGTCATTAAAAATTAAAAGAGGGCAAACTTAAAAATGGACTCTCAAAGGGAGCATTTTTGAAAAGGGGTATTGAAAAAGGGGCATTTTTAACAATTTCTCTATCTTTTTCTAATATAAATTTTTTTTTTACATTATGCAGGTGCATATTATATTTGATAATGGAAAAACAAAATTCACATTTGATTGGGACGTGATTTTTAAAGTTCAAGGTACAATACTTTTAATTTTCCATTGCTGCTACTTTGATATATGCTTTAACCAGATTTCAAGATTGAAAACTATAAAATTACAACGAAAAAATGATAAGATTTGTAAGCTTAGATTTTTACTTTCAAATATATTAAAACATTCTGAATCTCATTCTCTTTTGTCAATAGACGTACTTGGTCAAGTTGTGAGTGTTGGATCCATCAAGGTTTCAGAACAAAATAATAAGACCACAAAACGACTCAATAATAAAAATCTTGGTTTGAAACCCCTTTATTCATCTCTTCTAAGTTTAATTAAAAAATATGTGCAATGTAGTATTACATTTAACCAAAAATAAAAATGAAAATGAAAAAGAAACTTAAACAAATGAAAATAGAATCGTTGACGTTCCGTGACGTCTTCTCACCACTACTCCTTTTCGTTTATATATGTATATATTTTTCAAAAAAAGATTTAGATTAGAGTTTTGGTATTTATCTCTTTGAACATTCTTCTAATTAATTACAATGCAATGGTCAGAAATTAAAAATTTCCTAAGTTTCAGCATCATCAGAAAATAGAAGAAATTGGTACTTTGTGCTATATGATGGAAATGGTTACTATATGCTCATCAAAAGCAGCTAATGTAACATATATATTACCAACCAACATAATAAGCTATAGGAAGAAATCACTGAACCCAAAAACTGATATGGATGAGTCTAAGATTTAAAATATATATTTATAATCATGTTCGATTTATCTTTCCAGATAGAAGAATTTTTTCATTGTTTTTGGCATCCATGGATATAGATTCCATGTTATTGCACGTGAAAGACTTGCTAACAAAAATTCCTTTTAATTGATATTTGCTTTTTTTTCTTGTGTCTTAACGTTGTTAATTTGTAGATTTATTCCGTAATCAAGGAAGAAGAGATAAAATTCTTATCAAATATATATATTTTTTTAAAAACAACATGATACTGGGCCAAACAAAACCCAATATAGCCCACGTAGAAACTTAGACCCAATACAACTATTTTTTTTTTTTTGCTCTCAACGACACAATGTAATTATGAACCTAATTGAACCAAATAAATTGTTAATTTCATATAAACAAAAATACAAATCTAATGCAGCTAAATATATTTGATATACAATACAATATTCTCTTCTTCTTTATTACCAAGTCATGTTTTTCAACCAAGTTAAGATTAAAAAACATTTAATTCCTACAATAAAATAACCAGTATGATATAGAATATAGATTTAAAATTTATCATATACTATTATTTAATTCTACAAACAAAATATACAACCATTGTCAAATGAAATATATAACATTATATTCAAATAGTAATAAAAATAAAATATTATGATATATTCCCTTTTATACTATACTATTATACTATATTATTTCTTATTTATTCGAACAAAATATACAATTTAATTCATAAAAAAATATTAAATTTCGTGCTGTATAGTACGAGCCATGATCTAGTGTATGCTGTAAATGGATATCCAAATTTTATATTAATACAAAGTTTCTAGGGAGACTTAGCGCAGAGGTAAAAACAGAGCCTCTAATTTGCGAATCGGTAAATGCCAGTTTTGTCTCAGACAAAAGAAAAAAGATTGTTACTAATGGCCATCCATTTTAAAATAATTACGGAAAACTCATGTGCTTACACAGCTATGCGAGTGGGATAAGGGTCTTGATTTTTTTTGGCAAAAAAGAATGATATGACATATATTAAATTCTCTGTTGTAGAAGTGACCATTACGCGGCAACAGAAAGAAGGAGGAACATTAATTATTGTGTTTTTATCAAATTGAGGAAATTTTAGCACTCTACAAATATATACTATACGATTTTGATATTTGTAAACATCTAAACACATATATGGATCAATGTATACATGTAAATATATATATATATATATATAGAACGTTATTAATATTTGTATACATGTAAACATGTACATTAAGCATTATTAACATTTGTATATATATAAACACACACATATATATATATAGCGTTATTAACATTTGTATACATGTAAACATGTACATTAAGAATTATTAACATTTGTATATATATATAAACACATATATATATATACATATATATAGCGTTATTAACATTTATATACATGTAAACACATATATAGAGCGTTATTAACATTTATGGACTTGCTTCAAACATAATTACAACCATTGTAACCCCAACTATTGCAGAGAGCAAGTGTAATAGTGCATCGTAATTGGACACTTAAATATCATAAGTTTCGTCGGATTTTCGATTGATTTTCACCGGCTTTCATCGAGTTGTCACCGGATCTATACCGTATTTTGCCGAATTGGCACTGACTCTTCACCGGATTCGATCGATTTGTCACCAGATCTTTATCATATTTTGTCAAATTTTTACCGAAACTTATATAGATTCATCATACTGAAATTAAAGTACGGATTGTCTCTATATATCCTTAACCAATTCTTCTTTGTTCAAAAATAATCGAAAAGATAGGTTCAAATAATTTATGGTCTTATAAAATAAATATATTTTAATCAGATTTTATGATAAAGAAGACAAATATATACATAAATCTACAAATTTTGTTGGATATCTACAACATATTGATGAAGAACATAAGAAAAAAGTCAAAAACTGAACGAGTGAGGCTAAAATCGGAAAAAGAGTGGGCTAATGTTACCACTGTTTTGGGTCCCGACAAGAATTTACCAAAAGCTAATTATGCCCCAGATCTTTACATTCCACCTAATTATCTCAAGTTTCGATAGATAGATATAAATATATATTCCCAAATATGCTAAAAAATAAAAATATTCTCAAATATGTTCGATTTCTTTTACAATAATGCATGAACTAAGAATGGAACATGATATAAGTATTGAGTGTTTGATTTAAATTTGATCTCCTCTTCTTGGTTTATATCACAAAACCAATAAAACGACAACGTGTTAAGTCTAAAAAACTCAACAGAGCCAGTGAACCACACAAATTGTTTCAGTGCCTGCAAGTGTTCCTCACGCGCTTACAAATCGCGTAGATACCTTTTCTCGATTTTAACAATTTCGATATTTGTTTTTCCTTTTTATTAATTTTCTCAAAAAAAAAAAAAAAATTAACGTTCCCTTTCATCAGTGTCCTTTCAATTTCTTTCGACGAACCTTCATTTCTCAATTTTGATCGCTTCGAAGAACGAATCAATATAAGCCTGCCACAAACCCTAGAATACGACAACGCACGACGACGAAGTCGAAGAAGACGACTACTATAAAACGACGAAGATAAATAACTTCAATCTCCAATCGAGAGCTTTTGAATTTTCAGCGATGAGACCGATTCAATCGCCTCCAGGAGTTTCCGTTCCGGTTAAAAGCCGTCCTCGTCGCCGTCCTGATCTTACCTTACCGCTTCCTCAACGCGATGTTTCTCTCGCTGTACCTCTCCCTCTCCCACCTACTTCCGGTGGATCTGCGCCGTCTTCTGGTGGTTCAGCGTCTTCAGCTCCGTCGACGAACACTAACAGCTCCTCAGAATCGAAGAACTATTCGGATTTAGTGAGAGGTAACCGGATCGGAAGCGGAGCTGGTGGGACGGTTTACAAAGTGGTTCACCGTCCGAGTTCTCGTCTATACGCACTCAAGGTGATATACGGTAACCACGAGGAGACAGTGAGACGTCAGATCTGTAGAGAGATCGAGATTTTGCGAGATGTGAATCATCCAAACGTTGTGAAATGTCACGAGATGTTTGATCAGAATGGTGAGATCCAGGTTTTGCTTGAGTTTATGGATAAAGGTTCTTTAGAAGGTGCTCATGTGTGGAAAGAGCAACAATTAGCTGATCTATCTCGTCAGATTCTTAGTGGTTTAGCTTATCTTCATAGCCGTCACATAGTTCATCGTGATATCAAACCATCGAATCTTTTGATAAACTCTGCTAAGAACGTTAAGATTGCAGATTTTGGAGTGAGTAGGATCTTGGCTCAGACTATGGATCCGTGTAATTCATCTGTTGGAACCATTGCTTATATGAGTCCTGAGAGGATTAACACTGATTTGAATCAGGGTTTGTATGATGGTTATGCTGGAGATATTTGGAGCTTAGGTGTTAGCATTTTGGAGTTTTACTTGGGGAGGTTTCCTTTCCCTGTGAGTAGACAAGGTGATTGGGCAAGTCTTATGTGTGCCATTTGTATGTCTCAGCCTCCCGAAGCTCCACCTACCGCGTCGCCGGAGTTTCGACATTTTATCTCGTGTTGCTTGCAGAGAGAACCGGGGAAAAGGAGAAGTGCGATGCAGCTATTGCAGCATCCTTTCATATTAAGAGCAAGTCCGAGCCAGAACAGGTCTCCTCAGAATCTACATCAACTCTTGCCTCCTCCTCGTCCTCTGTCCTCTTCTTCTTCTCCAACCACATAGCGTTTTCTCTCCTCTCCCCTTCATCAACTTACATTTTTTCCTGTTACTGTTCTTGTTGAGTCTTTGTCCAATTTTTGCGTAAGCTTCTTTTCTTCATTACTAATCAAGGAGGGTCTCTGAATCTTACATTAATTAAGGAGTAAAAAACTCGAGAAAGGGTTTATTGGGATTATTGAATCTTTGGGTTATTGTTTTCTAGAAAGATAAAGAGAACAATAAATTCTTATGCTTATGATGGTGCATGTATCCCCAATGTAGCTTTCTTGAATTTTTCATAAAAGTTTTTGCCTTTTCTTTTGTCATTTATGCTTCTCAAGGATCGTTTCGTTTCCATTTATGGGTTGATGATGGCTTCATTCTTGTTGTTAAGGGTATTACTATTATGAAAAAGCACAAAAATAGGGATCGTCAGAATCGATTTTCCAACCTAATCGGGGTTATTGTAAAAGTCTCGCCAGTTTAGAACATTCTAGGAGATCTTATCAACACAATTACTCAATAAAAACGACTGTGTTTAACAAAGTGGGTCTAATGATGAAAAGAGAAATTTGGGCCAGATAAAAATAAAGCCCAATACTGAAACGACGTCGTCTTAGGCACAACAACGGTCATCTCCAAAGTTGGAAAACGACAAGAAACAAAAACACCAGAGGTGATGAAATTGAAAGCTTTGTACGGAGAAAGTAGCGATTCTCGCAGCCCTTGATACGTTTGACGACACAGGATGATGACATCTGTCCCATCTCTAGGGTTTTTCGAGTCACCCATACTCTTGTCTATAAATACTAAATGTTCTGATTCCTTTGTTAGGTTCATTTGGTTTACTACTCTGCTTCCTCTGCTTGTGAGTATTCTCTTTGTAATTGCGATTAGTGTTACTTTATAGGGCTTTCTTTCTAATTTGTTGGGATTTGTTTAGCTTGCTTTGGTTTTTGCTTATGCATTTACCTTTTTCAGTGTGATTAGTGAGAAATGAAGAGCTTTTAGTTACGTTTTAGGGTTTTGTTACGGATCTTTGCCTTTTTTAAGTGTGATTAGTGAACAATGAAGAGCTTTTAGTTACGTTTTAGCGTTTAATCCTGCTTTATTTTGGTCATTCTTTGGTAAAGAAGATATCACTTTGGTTCGGTTTAGCCACAAACTCCTCCCTCTGTTTTTTTTTCATTGATAAAAATGTCATCTTTTTGCTATTTCATTATGATTAGTGAACAAATGCGGAACTTTTAGTTAGGTTTGGTCATTCTTTGGTTCGAGTTAGCCACAGACTCATCCATCTGTTTTGTCATTGATAAAAATGTCTTCTTTTGCTATTTCTTTGATCCTATTTGGAAGCAAAGGTGTCTCTTGCCTTTTCCTTTCTTTCGTTAATGCCTCTGAACAATAAACCTTTGTGAAAATCGCTTCACTTTGATGATTCCCTTGTTAGTTAATGTTGTTTCCATTTTCTCAACTTCACATTCATTAATGTATTTTATTGAACTTTGCAAATTTTCAGGGTTAAGTAATTGCAGATGGCACTCCCTCCATATGATCCGAATTTCACAATTGCATTCTCAATCGGCAGACGCGAAAATTTTGAGAATGACCCAGAGCACGGTAAAAACTTGTCACTTTAGAATATACTCACAAAAGTATCTAGCTACCTGGTTTTAAAACAAATTATTTGATCTAATCCCTGTGGCTATAGAATTAGGATGTTATGTTGGATCATTGCTTTGGTTTTAGCCTGGAATAGGTTGTTTTTTCACAGTTGATTCTGGTCATATTCTTACACCAATGACCAATGTCTTAAGTTTTGTTCTTGTTGGCTCTGATAACTTGTTTGCTAAGACAGGTTTTAGATTCCCTCAGAGATTGATAGCATGTGTGTTGTCTTTGTACGTTTTATCATGATTTCAAAGCTTCTCTTTTTATGTTAACAGTGAGAATTGAGTCACTCTACTAATTAGAGTGACTGTAGAATAATTAGGATCTTGTGCTGAATCAATGCTTTGTCAATTGTCACATTGCTTTAGTTTTAGCCTGGATTATGTTGATTTATCACGATTGATTCTGATCCTATATGTATCTTGTAAGATGGAATTATGGAAACACATTCAGATTTGATTCATTTTTCCATTTTGTGGTTGTGTCTTTGCAGATGAATCTGCTTCTGCTGCTATCGTAGCGGCTGAACTGATAAGCTCTGCACGGCTTGCACTTAAGCTGGATAGCGTCCACACTGAGTACTCAGCTCAGTATTTGGTGGACAAAGCTGGTAGCTCACGTAGGCGCAGGCGCAGGGGCAAGCTCACTGTCAAAGACTGCCTTTTCTTTGCGTTAAAGAAAGGCGGAATACCGAAAGCAGAAGATTGGCCACCTTTGGGATCTGAGTCAAAGCCCCCGTCATCGTACAAACCTGCTCTCGTTTCCATGAAAGGAGAAGTGATTGAGCCTAAGGATATGGACCAAGTACGTGACTTGTTGGTGCATCAACCGGCCGCGGGAGCAAAACTTCATGTGTTCAGTCCACACATTGAACTTCAACAAGACGTAAGTGCTATAGCTGTTAGTTAGAATTCAATATAAAATGACCCAGAGAGATACATTTGATCTAAAGTATTTGTTCATCTGTTTTGTGTGGTAGGCAATTTACTGTGGCTCGTCAGGTGAGTATACGCGCTATGTTGGACTTAGAGATGCAATCATAGTTGGAACGGAGAAGATCCAAGGAAAGTCCATGGCAATAGTGAAGGTTTGGTACAAGAATAAGTTTACATTTCTCAAAGTGGCTTTGAGCAGGATGTTTTTTTGGGCGGGCGTAGGGCCATCAGAGCTGCTTGTTGACTTTTGTGTCCCACGCCTATCCATCGATTAAGCAAGAAGATATGGTTTTATCTTCTTAATAAGTATCTATCTATCTAGAGAACACTATGCTACTAGCTAGTGGAAGACTTTGTTTAAGAATGCATGTTTCATCTGGAGACTTTTTTTATATGTAATAAGTTAAGAATTTGAGATATCTACTTTCTAAAGACAACAATTTGGGATGATCTATTTGTTATGCTTATTGAATCTTTGGGATTATGTTTGCTGGAAAGAAACAGAACAGTGAGACCAAATTCTTATGCTTATGATGGTGCATGTATCCCCAATGAAGCTTTCTTGAAATTAACAAACAGAACAGTTTTTGATTTTTTCATTGTACTTTTGTCAACTCCTTTTCGTATATACTTTCTTCCGAAACATAAATATTTATAAAGTCGATAAGGAACTTCTAACCCTAATCGGCGCCGCCGCCCGGCCACACGCCGTCCGGTGAGAAATTACCCATGAAGAAGAAGAAAGCTCGTCCGAAAGGACCAATCCCATCCTTCTCTAAGCTCGCTCGCGTTCTCGCCACTCCTTCCCCGACGCTTGTTGCCCCCTTGCGATTGTCAGATCCAATCGTCTCTCCGTCGCTCAAGCTATCCTCTGCTGCCATTGATGAGTCTGTACTGGTTGAGATGAAGGGTATCCTCCCCTCGCTTCCTGGGAACACTATTGCGCCATCAATCGCTACATCAAGCTCTGCTCCAATTGCTTCTTCCGTTCTAGTCGAGGCTAAGGGAACTCTTCCCTCACTTCCTGGAACCGAGTCTGCTACGACCATCCTTCAAAACTCAGTGTCTGAGATCTCCTCCACTGTAGTTATTACAAATCCTCCGGGAACTCCAGCCTCGAATGGAACCCCACTGTCGACAGAACCTCCTTCTGCTCCGGCCATCCTCTACAACTCAGTGTCCGAGAACTCCTCCACTGTGGTTATTACAAATCCTCTGGGAATTCCAGCTTCCAATGGAACTCCGATGTCGTCAACAATTCCTTCTGGTCACGGGCAAACTTCTGAGCATACCTGTACCAAATCGGCTCTCCCTTGGGCAATGAAATTCAAGGCTTCCCTTCGAAACTTGAAGCAAATGTCTGCACCTACCTTTCTTGATGATGGTACTCCGGTAGTGGTAGCGCCACCTTCAGTTCTTCTCAAAACGGCCGAGATGTGGAAAGACCACCTTGTAGCTCAATTCCATGGCCAATGTCCTCCAGCTTCGCGAATCTTCTCTGACTTGAATCCAATATGGGGAAGATACGGAAACATTACCGTGAGGGTGATATCTGAGACAGCGTCCCTCATATTCGTGCCCTCAAAAGCAACTCGTGAATGGATCAGTGAAGTTAGTTTCTGGCAAGCTGGTAACTGCTCTTGCACAGTTTACCCTTGGTCTCCAGAAACTGGTCTCCTTGAATTAGAAGAACTTAAATCTGCTCCGACATGGGCGATTCTAAAAAATGTTCCTCCTCAACTATACTCTCTGGATGGTATTAGTGTTATTGCTAGCGGAATTGGTGAACCGTTGCATACCGAGAAGTCGAGGCTGGATCCGATTAACATCGGTGCTACTAAGGTAAAGGTGATTATCCAGCTTGATTGTCCTCTGCCTGCTTCAGTTGTTGTCAAAGATGTGCAGGGTAATTCTACTCGCGTTGCCATCGAATATCCGAGACCTCCTCCCAAGTGTCTCAATTGTGGACGTTATGGCCATCTGTTGAGCAGGTGCCTCAAACCATTAATGAAGAAGCCTCAGTTTAAAAAAGATATTTTGGTGGGGGCTAAGGTGGTAACGCATCCTACTGTTACTCTCCCTTCTACAATTCATACTGCAAGTGCTATATCTCAGGTTGAGGCTGCTGAGGTTAATGCACCTGTTGCGAAACCAAGAAGACGAAAGAGGTCTCGTTCAAGCAAAAGATCCTTGAGTACTCCTCCTAGATTAGGCGAAGCTCCTAAAGTTGGTGAGGCCTTTGGAGTTGGTATCTCTGCTGTACCCACTCCGGATAAGCTATCCACCCACGCACAAGCGAAAGGGAAGTACTACAAAGAGAAACCTACTGGGATGGCTAATTCTGGTATCATTCAACCTCCGCGGATTTCCCTCTCTTCTACTGTGGCAGGGTTAAATCATTTCTCTCCTGATCCTGGTGAGTCACAGAAAGGAAGAAGTAAAGAAATCCCTCCTGATTTCCCTCTCCCTCCAGGTTGGGGGGCCATGTCAAAGAAGTCAAGGAAGAAAGAATTAAAGAAGTGGCATAATCATATCAGCTCTGTTGTGCCTGGAATCTGTGTTGCTGCAAGGGGACCTTCCTCGAGCAGAACATCTCTTCATTGAAAGCTGAGCTTTAACCCTCCCCTTTTGTTTAAATAATGAGGGTCTTTTGTTGGAATATAAGAGGACTGAATAGCCTTGGTCGTCAAAGTGCTGTAAGGAGGTGGATTACTTCTAATAATTTTTTGGTGGGAAGTTTTTTGGAAACTCATGTTTCAGAGGCTAATGCTACTGCAGTTTTGGCCTCTACCCTACCAGGCTGGCGTACGGATAATAATTATTGTTGCTCGGATCTGGGGAGGATTTGGATTGTTTGGGATCCCTCAGTATCGGTTTTGGTCTTCAAGAAAACTGAGCAGTTGATGCTTTGCAGCATAAAGATGCCTTTGGTCAACAGGTCTTTTGTTGTTGCTTTTGTTTATGGGAAGAATACAGATATTGAAAGAAGGCTTTTGTGGGAAGACATTTCTGAGCTCTCGGCCTATCCTTCTCTTATAGCTACTCCTTGGGCTCTAGTAGGCGACTTCAATCAGATTGCGGCTACTAATGAGCATTTCTCAATCATTCCTTCCTCTTTACCTTTACGAGGAATGGAAGACTTTCAAGACTGCTTAAGGGATAATGAATTGGAGGATCTTCCTAGTAGGGGAGTTTTTTACACATGGTCAAACCATCAACAGGATAATCCAGTCATTAGAAAACTTGATAGGGCTTTGGTGAATGGGGAATGGTTGAATTGTTTTCCAAATTCCATAGCTGTTTTTGATCCACCTGGGGACTCGGACCATGCTCCCTGCATAATTAATCTGGACACTCAACCTGAGAGATCAAAGAAGACCTTCAGGTATTTCTCCTTCATCTCAACTCACCCAACCTTTCTCTCTGCCATGTCTGCTGCTTGGGATTCTCAGATTCTGGTTGGGTCTGCCATGTTTTCCCTTGGAGAACATTTAAAGGCAGCAAAGAAGTGTTGTAAGGAGTTGAACAAGCAGGGATTTGGCAATATTCAGGACAGAACAAGACAGGCTCTCACCACCTTGGAAGAGGTACAAACTGAACTGCTCTCTGCTCCTTCTGACTCTCTCTTTAGAGCTGAATATGTCGCAAGGAAAAAGTGGACCTTCTTTGCAGCTGCTTTAGAGTCTTTCTACAGACAAAAATCAAGAATCAAATGGCTGAAAGAAGGAGATGCCAATACAAGGTTCTTTCACAAAATGGTTCTGGCTCATCAAGCAAAAAATCTTATCTCATACCTTATTGGAGAGAATAACGAGAAAGTAGAGGATGTTGCTCAGATTAAGGAAATGGTTGTTGCTTATTACTCTCATCTGTTGGGTACGCCTTCTAACACCTCTACTGAACCTTTCTCTGTTGAAAAGATTCAGAGTTTACAACCTTTCCGATGTGGTTCAGACTTGGCTGCTAAGCTTATTGAGATACCCAGTGAGGAGGAGATCACCTCTACTCTTTTTGCCATGCCCAGAAACAAGGCTCCAGGACCTGATGGATTCTCTTCTGAATTCTTTTGGGAATCCTGGCAGGTGGTTAAAGAGAGTACAGTGGCTGCAGTGAGAGAATTTTTCCAAACTGGCCACCTTCTCCGGAAATTCAATACTACTGCTCTTACCCTCATCCCTAAAGTGCCAGGAGCAGATCAGCTATCTATGTTCAGACCCGTTGCATGTTGTAACACTGTCTATAAGATAATCACCCGGTTAATCTCAAAGAGACTCAAGCTCTTTATTCCTGATGTTGTTCTAAATAACCAGGTGGGATTTATAAAAGGCCGGTTCCTATGTGAAAATATTCTTCTGGCTTCCGAGTTAGTTGAAAACTTCCATGTGGAGGGGCTTACAACAAGAGGCTGCTTGCAGATAGATTTATCCAAGGCCTATGACAATGTGAATTGGGAATTTCTTATTAATATCCTCACTGCCATGAGTCTTCCAGATGTTTTCATTAACTGGATAAGAGTTTGCATTTCCTCTCCTTCTTATAGCATCGCATTTAATGGTGAGCTTGTTGGTTTTTTCCAGGGAAAGAAAGGGATTAGACAAGGAGATCCCATGTCGTCTCATCTCTTTGTCCTAGTCATGGATATCCTCGCCAGGTCCCTGGATAAAGGCGTCGTTGATGGATTGTTTCAGCCTCATCCTAAATGTTATGCCCCTTTAGTCACACATCTCAGTTTCGCTGACGATGTCTTGGTGTTCTTCGATGGTTCTGAACCTTCCATGGAGGGCATTCTTCACATTCTGGAAGACTTTGAGAAAGGTTCTGGGCTGGGAATAAATAGACAGAAAACAGCTCTTATGCTTGATGGAGGGAATTTTGAACACAACAGATTAGTCTCAGAGAGGTTTGGTTTAACTCATGGGGCGTTGCCAGTAAGGTATCTAGGTGTTCCTCTCTCGTCTCACAAGATGAGGAAGCAGGATTTCCAGCCTCTCATCGATAAGATCAATTACAGATTCTCATCTTGGACAGCAAGACATTTGTCCTTTGCAGGAAGGTTACAACTCTTGAAATCTGTGATTTACTCTACAATCAGTTTTTGGGCTTCCATATTCATCCTGCCAAATCAATGCATCTCCAAGCTAGAGCAGATGTGCAATGCTTTTCTTTGGAGAGGCGCTCCAAACTCTGCTAGAGGAGCCAAAATT